TCATCATCTTCTCTCAGATGCAAACATTTGTAAACCAAAAAAAGTAAAAGACGATACTTGAAAGAAGCAACAATAAAAATTGAAACATATATCACTTTCGGCTTGCGAGTACTAACAGCAAATATTAATGCATCAACTTAACCAAATAAAAAAAAGAAAAAAGAAAAATCGAGACAGCTTAACTAAAATAAATCTAAAAATTAATATCGGAACAAGATTTCTTTCTTTCGGGTTCAACTTTCATAATAGCGATTTTCGAATCTACTGTTTTGAAAGAACAGCCGCAGAGAATATTCATACGTATATAATATATATATATATATATAGGCAAGATATAAACGCATATCAAAATTAATAATCAGAGAAAAACAACCAGATATAAGTACGAAGAAAATAAAAATGGTTGCAATCAACGAAACAAGAGAAGCAAGAAAACAGGCCCCGTACAAGATCAACATTCTCCTTCCTAATCTCTTCCAAGCTGATACTTCTGTTGTCCGCCATCGCTCCTGGGAATCTTCAAATTCTGTCCCCTTGGATTCAATTGATCTATGATATACTTACGTAAATATTTCTTCTCTAAATTAGAGATTCAAAAAATTGATTGTATCATGGAACTGCATGGCTCTCGACTTCTACTAAGTCACAACTTGCAAATACTCTCCCTACTAGTTTACTATTATATTATTATTATTATTATTTTTTTTTTGTGGGTAAAAAGATAGTTGTGATGGGAATGGGCTAAATATATACGAGGAAGAGGAAGAATTTGATTCCTTTTCTACTATCAGTTTCCTTCTTTTGGTAAATTCTCAGCCTTTGCTTTGTAACGAACCTACACAATCGCTTTGTTATATCGCAATGCTATTTTTTCAGCATGTGTCGAAATATGACTCGGATGTGATCGTTGAGATAATTCTTACTATTACTGTATAAATTACTGCAATTTACATTTCCAGGTTTTTGGAGGACTTGAGTGCAAAATAATGGACAGATGGCCTCGTTGATCATAAACAGAAGAATGAAGGAGCGGGAGTCTTGTCAATTTTGTAGCCCAAGTCATTCGGCTGAGTGTGGCTATTGTCTAGTATTTTACTATTCCCTTCTTGAACGAGATTTTTTTTTTTTTTCCTAAATTCAAGGTCAAGTAATATGAGTCCACGTATCTGTTGGATTTATGAGGGTTTAATTTTGAGGCAATTGAGGAAAGCTGGGGATAAGCATGAGAGGATGATGATGATTTATAAAAGTCAATTTTTGAAAGTGGAATAAATAGAAAATCAATCCATTGGATTTGGGATGTGGGATTTGTCAGTTTAAAATTTGTAAGTTAACGGAAGGATTTCTTACTTTAAAAGAATAAAATTTACTTGATTTGTTGAGATCCTATAGTATTGCGAGTTTTTACTAGGTCAGATTGCGTTAGAATACTGTCTACTATTTCACTTTTTAAGCTGTATCATTACATTTACCAAGGAGTCCACTGGCATCTGGCAACTGCCAATAATAACTTTTTCTCAGTGCAAGTAGTATTTTGTCTAGAAGACAACGAAACCTACATGAGAATTGGAAAACAACGGGTTAATTCCATTTTGTCCCTTCAAACTTTGGGCGATTACCCACTTCAGTCCCTTAACTTCAAAATGGGACACTTAAATCCCTAAACTTATGAATTGCTCCCAATTAAGGAAAATTGTTGACAGAATCCTGATTGCCATTGGTGGTCGAAGTGCGTGGCAAACACTCTCCGTTAATGAAGATGGGGGAATATTGTTACTGAAAATGATAAGGACATAAACGTAAATTTGGGTCGTAAATTAAGGACAAACAAAGACAAATTCCAGAGAAGGGAAAGTGCGAAACAGTCAGAGAGTGGTCGTTTCTTTCCTCTGTCTTGGATGAAAAAATAGAGAGGAGGGGTAAAACCAAAGTGTGTAAAAATTCGAATGATTGTTGCTGAAAAACACTGAAGATTGCAAGAATGGGAAGAAAGCGAGTCAATGTGAGAGAAAAAGGGTCCGTGTCCGCAGCGAAACAATGGAAAGCAAAAGAGAAGACAAGTACTGGTATGAGAAAAATATTTTAGAGTTTTTTGTGTACTTTAATTGAATTTAATAATTGGAATTTGGGTAAGAATATACGGTAGCAGTAGAAAAACGTTTTAAAGCCATAAGGATTGTAGAAAAGTTAGGGTTTTGGATGGTTGTGGAATGCATGTCCAAGGCATTATATATTTTTGATGGTACTGTTAGTGGGTCTGCATATTTTACTGAAAAGTGAGTGTTGTGGGAACCCTAATGTTCCTTCTGTTGAAGACATTGTGGTCCCAAATGCTAAAAATGTTGTTAATAATTAATGGGTTAATTATTAAAGATTTATTTTTTTATTTAACCAGAGTGTGGTCCAAATGACATTTTGCCCAACTCATTTTCCTTGGCGATACACCATCAGGGTGAGTTCAGAAGCTCTCCCAGCAAAGAATACGTGGGAGGAAGGGTAGACTATATAGACAACTGTAATGCTGAAAAATGGTCACTACAAGTGCTTGATGAATGTGCAGTAAGACTAGGATACCCGAAAGATGCTCGTTTTGGGTGGTATGGTAGGATTCCTGGTATGCCGCTTGAGACTGGACTATATTTTTGCATGTGTGATTGGGATTGTGATCTTCTAGTAAACACATTGCCACTGAATAGAGTGGCAGAGGTTTATCTACAAGTTGGCACTGATGATAATCCAGTGAGGTTTCAAACTCAAAAAACAGAGTATGTAGACATGCCTGAAGGCCACAAAACTTCTGCTAAGCAGGATACAAAAGATAAAGAAACATCTGAAATGGACAGTGACATAGCAATACTGGAAGAAGTTGACTTCAATGATATGGACAACAGAAGGAAAAATGTGGCTGATGACAACAGTAATGAAGTTGCTACAAACAGTCATGAGAATTTTGATTCCAAAAGTCCTAATTTGCAACAAGAAGAGGACAACAAGAGAGATAATGCAGGGAAAGAAGCACAAATGGCAACTGATAATGATATCCAAGCTGATGAGACTGATGTGCAGGCTGATAATAATGTGCAGGCTAATGATGATATGCAGGCTGACGACAAGTTCGATGATCCAGATTATACGGGGCAAGTTGAGGAGGATGTTTTATTTGATGAAGCCTTAAAGATTGGACAACAATTTGGCGTGCATAAAGGAGCTCCTGAAGTTGGACCTTCTACCAGCAAAGACAGAAGAAAGAAGAGAGCAAGTAGGGAAGGAGAAGCTGTTGACGAAGTAAATATTTGTGATGAGCCTGACATGGTTAATGTGGAGGATATGCAGTCAGAATATGAAATAGATTGTTCTAGAGAGTTGAAGAGTGAGAGTGAATCCGAAGACGAAGATGGTCGTAAGAGAAATAAGAAGCCTAAATTTTCAGTTTTTAATGAGAAAACTGAAATGAGAAGTCCAAGATTTAAGGTAGGCCAGAGGTTTTCATCAGTTGTTATTTTTAGGTTGGCTGTTAGAATCCAGGCTATTATGGAGGGAAGGGATGTCCAATTCATAAAAAATGACACATATAGGGTACGGGTGAAATGCAGAGGCTGTGAATGGCAAATTTTTGGCTCAAAAATGCAAGGTGAAAACACTTTCCAGATCAAGACACTTAGCAAGGAGCACACCTGTGGACGTGTCTTCCATAATAGAAACATGATATCAAAACTAGCTACCAGGTTGTTTGTAGATGAGGTGAGAAAAACACCATCCATGACAGTCCAGGAGCTCATGACTAGGGTGACTGAAGAATTAAATGTAGATTGCAGTCTTAAACAAGGCTATAGGACAATGAAAAAAGTAAGAGACATAATTGAAGGCAGTCATGAAAAACAGTATGCATTGTTAGAGGACTTCTGTGGTGAATTGAGGAGAGCAAATCCTGGATCGACAGTGTTCGTTGAGACGGATGAGGATGAGGATGGGATTGTCAGATTCAAAAGGCTTTACATGTGCTTAGAGCCATTGAAGAGAGGATTTCTAAAGGGCTGTAGGCATTGGATTGGGTTGGATGGGTGCTTCTTAAAGGATACATATGGTGGACAACTACTTACAGCCGTGGGTATGGATGGAGATAATAAAATGTTTCCACTAGCTTTGTCAGTTGTTAGAGTGGAAAATTATGACAATTGGAGCTGGTTTTTGGGATTGCTTGTACAAGATTTGGAAATATCAGATTCCAGTAATTGGTGTGTCATGACTGACAAGCAAAAGGTATGATAAATTGTATTAGCACTTATTTATACAGCAACTTTTTATTTAATAACTCAGGTACAACTTTTTATTTAAGCCAAGTTGTATTCAAACGTGTACAGGGACTAGTTCAGGCAGTTAGAGACAAAATGCCACAAGCTGAGCACAGGTGTTGTGTGCAACATCTATACACCAATTTCAAACAGATTCATAGAGGCCTGCCCTTAAAAGAAAGACTTTGGAAATGCGCAAAAGCTTCTTATGTTACCCACTGGAAAGTCGAAATGGAACAGTTGGGGCAAGAATATGCAGCTGCGCATTCTTGGCTTGATGAAAAAGATCCCAAAACTTGGTGTAGAGCCCATTTTAGATGTGGATTGGATTGTGATATTTTGGTAAATAATATGTGTGAGTCCTTTAATGCAGTAATTTTAAAGGCCAGGTCACTACCAATCATATCCATGCTGCAGACCATTTATTTGTACCAGCTGAAGAGGATGGAGAGGAACAGGGAAGCAATGTCCAAGCACGAAGGTTAAGACACATTTTATTTATTTACTAGTATTAAGGTCAGTTCATAATTTCTTTGAGAAATTTATGACCAATTTATTGTTTTCATTTTGTATTCAGGTCTTCTTTGTCCAGCAATATTTGAGATATTGGAAAAGGCTAAGCAAGAGCAGTGTATGTGCATAGCGTCATATGCTGGGACAATGAAGTATCAGATAAGCTGTCCATTTGAGGAGCAGTATATTGTTGACATGGCTGCCAAAACCTGTTCATGTAGAAAGTGGCAATTAAGGGGAATACCATGTGGCCATGCTGTAGCTGCCATCAACAGGAGACATGAAGCACCAGAGAAGCATGTTTCCAACACCTACTTGAAGATCACGTATCTACAAAGTTATGAACCTGTACTTAATCCAATCAATGGTCCTAATTTGTGGGAGCACATAGACCTTCCAGCAATGAAGCCTCCGACTTATAGAAGATTTGCTGGAAGGCCAAAGAAAATGAGAAAAAAGGCTTCAGAAGAAGACAGACGGGACATCTGTGTCAATCCAACTAAACCTCACAAGGTTAGCAAGGTTGGCACCATGATGAGCTGCAGCCGCTGCAAAAAATACGGACATAACAAAAGAGGATGTCCGGATAAAAATAAGCAAACCACTGAGGGGACAACTACAAGTTCAGCAAAGGAGAACAGTGATATTGGAGATACAGGCCCATCTATGCAGCCAAGTACTAACGAGGCTTGTCCAAGTGATGTGACCGTTGACATACTTGGAGTAAGTACGCAACAGAGTCACACAGGTCCATCTCAAAATTTGGATGCCAATCAGCCAAAACAAGGGGCACAAGAACCAGTGACAAAGAAAGGAAGAAAATGCTCATTTTGTCGTAAGCATGGTCACTCAAAGAATAGTTGTAAGTTGAGGCAATGGACCTTTAGAAGCTCACTGGACATGACTGGAGACTTGGGATTCAAAACTGTAAAAATACGGTCTGATGATCTGGAAAACCCATATAATCATGCTCAAAATAGTTCTGGGCATGTGGAAAAGAGTCCTACAACAACTCATGTAAGTGGTCTCCATACATCAGGTATTTATTTATGGGTGTCATGTCTTATTGATTCATGTTATGTGCTTGTTTGCAGTTAAGCTCCAAAGCTGATGGTCGCAAACTTTATTCCCACAGCCACGGAGTAACGATGAGAGCACCACACTCATACGTGGACTTGGGGACAGCCTCTCATTCCAGCAGTGGACTTAAGCCAGCACAATTCACATGGCAAGGCAATTTGTGTGTTAACCTGTCTACATTACAGACAGCTGCGGGACATGCGAAGGAGTCACTTGGAATTGAAAATGTGCAGCTCCATGGGAATGGAAACCAATCTGTTAAGTTGGGAAAATTGCAGCAATAGGCCAAATAGCCTTCAAGCATGAACTAACTGATGCTGGACAAACCAACTCAAGAATTGTACAGGCATATAGCCTTTTTTATTTTGCAGATACAATCAAATTGGGCAGTAAAAGCCTCTGTTTTGCTAGTCCAGATGTGGCGAACTTTTGTTCAACTCATATAGTCCATTGGAACTAAGAATTTTTTTGTTAATATGGAATTTTTGTTAGCCTCTGTTTTTGGTAGCCTCTGTTGTGGAACTCATATAGCCTTTGTCTTGCTAGTCCAGATGGGTGAAATTCAGAGGCTGTTAATGTGGAATTTTTGTCATTCCTGGTATTGCTATTATGTATTGGATGATTTGTTGAATGATCAAAGGTTTTTGCTGAAAATTTTATGTTCTGAGTTGATTGCTGTTGTTAATGTGACATATATTACTTGCAATAAACTTTACAAATTGGGACACTAAAATCCCTAAACAACAAATTCTGATTACATAGCAGGTCCAACGTTCACAATTATGGGACATAGCAGGTCCACTATATCCCTAAATTTGATACAATACATTTAAAACCCATCTACCACCACTCAGGTCATTTCACAAATACATTCATCAGACAAAGCTTTCACCAGTCACAAAAATTTAAAACAATGTGGTACATGTTCACAAGCAAGATGGTGAAAATCCCGACTGTATAATAACGCTGAAACCCGCAAGCGGGATTCTGTGTTTTTCCTACTTCAACGTTACCTCGCATGCGGATTAATGTTATATTTTATGGCGAGAAGAAAAAATTGCTAATTAGGCTTTTTGGGCATTATAAGTAAATATTTAAATTAATGACCATTAAAAAAAAGGGTTGTATAAATTGGCAGTTAAGTTTTCAAAATGAATTTGGACGAATTTGTAAAAAGTTAGAAGAAATAGGTTGTAAACGAGTAATTGGGTTGCCAAACTCGTTTTCTGACTTGTCCATTGAACTACATTTACTCATATCGCCCAAGAATAGATGGGTATGGGAATCATAAAATTTTACTTATGGATATAAATAATTGGGTAACGCAACCGACCCAATTAACCCATCTACCACCACTCAGGTTATTTCACAAATACATTCATCAGAAAAAGCTTTCCACCTGTCACAAAAATTCAAAGAAATGTGGTACATGTTTACAAGCAAGCAGGTTAACATCCCGTCTGCATAAGAACGCTGAAACCCCCAAGTGGCATTCTGTTCCTTTCCTATTTCAACGTAAGATCGCATGTGGGTTAATGTTATATTTGATGGCGAGAAGAAAAAATTGCTAATTAGGCTTTTTGGGCATTATAAGTAAATAATTAAATTAATGACAGTTAAAAAAAGGGTTGTATAAATTGGCAGTTAAGTTTTCAAAATGAATTTAGACGAATTTGTAAAAAATTAGAATAAATGGGTTGTAAACGAGTAATTGGGTTGCCAAACTCGTTTTCTGACTTGTCCATTGAACTACATTTACCCATACCGCCCAGGAATAGATGGGTATGGGAATCATAAAATTTTTCTTATGGATAAAAATAATTGGTTAACGCAACCGACCCAATTAACCCATCTACCACCACTCAGGTCATTTCACAAATACATTCATCAGACAAAGCTTTCGTCCTGTCACAAAAATTCAAAGCAATGTGGTACTTGTTCACAAGCAAGCAGGTTAAAATCCCGCATGCGGGTTAATGTAATATTTGATGGCAAGAAGAAAAAATTGGTAATTAAGCTTTTTGGGCATTATAAGTAAATATTTAAATTAATGACAGTTAAAAAAAAGGGTTGTATAAATTGGCAGTTAAGTTTTCAAAATTAATTTAGACGAATTTGTAAAAAGTTAGAATAAATAGGTTGTAAACGAGCAATTGGGTTGTCAAACTCGTTTTTTGACATTTCCATTGAACTACATTTACCCATACCGGCCATGAATAGATGGGTATGCGAATCTTAAAATTTTACTTATGGATATAAATAATTGGGTAACGCGACCGACCCAATTAACCCATCTACCACCACTCAGGTCATTTCACAAATACATTCATCAGACAAAACTTTCACCTGTCACAAAAATTCAAAGCAATGTGGCACATGTTCACAAGCAAGATGGTTAACATCCCGACAGCATAAAACGCTGAAACCTGCAAGCGGGATTCTGAAAGTGCTGGTAATTACATAGTCAGCAAAAGCAAGAATTTCCTTCCTGCACCACTCAAAAGGTCCACTACTTAGCAATGACAGACAAAGGTGGTCCCATATTTGAGCAAACAAAACGGGCAGTCCGGCATAAGCAGTTGCTTCTTCTACAACTCATTTTGGACATTCTCCCCCAGATTTGAACAAAAACAACCACATGACAATGGCAACCCAGTGGATAATCAAGTACATCCTTAGCTTCCTTACTTTCGATTGTTGGCACCTTGAATTTTCTTTCAACCTATCCAACTCAGCTTCCATCTTGTTCATCGACCTTAGCAGTCCAGGTATTATTTCTTTTGACCTTTGACACATCTCAGGATCAACCCAATCCCAGTATATGCAGCCTCCTTGTTCCTAGTTTGACAAGAACATTATGTTTGCAGACAAGATTAGGTGGCTGCAATTCATACAAACCCAAAATAAAAAACAAGTATAAACACAAAACCCTAATTTCCCTTACTCTGTACTTGGCATATCGACAAAACCTTCTTCCTGGGTTCATGGCAGTCCATGATGTCATCATCAATGTTTGCTTTCCACAATCACAAAATTGCCTCACCATTTCTCTTTGTTTGTTGAACCATGCGTTGGGTTCTCCTTTTCTTCTTCCTGCCCTGTGGATAGCAGAATGACAGCTTGGGTCTCTCAGCATACCGACCTGAAGTGCCCTTTTATGATTTGGATCGGGTCTACATTATCCATCTGAAGTGGGTAGCATGGAGGGAAACTTTCCCTCCATATTTCACCATTTTTTTTAATCTATATATGTGATTTTTTGTGAATTTTCATTGTTGCCCTCAGTCAAAGGACAGTGTTTGCCACGCTCTTCAACCACCAACGGCAATCAGGATTCTGTCAACAATTTTCCTTAACTGGGAGCAATTCATAAGTTTAGGGATTTAAGTGTCCCATTTTGAAGTTAAGGGACTGAAGTGGGTAATCGCCCAAAATTTGAGGGGACAAAGTGGAATTAACCCGGAAAACAACTGTATAGGGTTTCCTCAAAATCAAAAGGTCTAGCTAGCTCTGGCCTTTTACAGGTTTAAGTCGGGGAAGCATTTAGCATCCCAAACACGTTGCAGTTGAGACGCGGTAGCCCAAGTTGTACATAAACTTTGAAAGGCCTTTTCAAGACCAACCCACAAGCTAAAACAAACCCAATCCTTAAATCTTAATAAGAATTGAATTAAAAAGAAAGAACTAACTCAGCCATGCTAATACGACTTAGGAGAAATAATTTCTTTTAATGTCACATATTTCAAATTTTAATTCAGTGTCTCAAAATCATAAGAAGACTTTGCAGTTTGTAACACTTGAAAGACAAATATTTTCTGTGGGTATGCCAAGTATTTTCGGTTAGTTTCTTTTGATGAGCAATATAGCGAACTATAGCAAGTCCAATATTGTCACTTTATATTAGGGCCGTAAACGAATCGATCCGCCGCGAATGACCTAAGTCCGAGCTCGACTTGAGTTTCGAGTCGAGATCGAACTGACAAAGTCGAACTCGAGATCAAAAATACTAAACTCGTTAACTCGTGAATCAGCTCGAATTCAATTGATTATATATTGATCGAGATCGAATCGAATTTGAACTAACCAAGTCGAATTCGAGTTCAAAAATACAAAACTCGTTAGCTCGCGAGTCGGTTCGACCTCGATTGATTATATATATATATATATATATATGTATATTTATTTATTTTAATAATAAAATTATATATATTTATATTTCTAATATTTTATGATTTGTTAAGAAAAATTTATTATTCTATTCATTTTTAAAAAATAATAAAAAATAAAATAATTATTTTTTTTATTTTTTAAAACTCGAGCTCGACTCGAATTTGAGTCGAATTTGACATTTTGAGTTCGTCGACTTCGAGTTCGAGTTTCGTAAAATTATGTTGAGGTTCAATTCGATTAAGTTGAAACTCGACTCGACTCGAGTCAACTCGTTTGCACCCCTACTTTATATAGAATGACATTGTTCTCAAATGATTTTAGATTTTAATTTTGAAAAAATAATTTTATTGTGTTCTTAACTACTTTTATATTCTAATTTTGAATTTTTTAAACCTAAAAGGGTTCAAAATCAGAAGCATCTATTTTGGTGCTCTTTTATTCTGATTTTTTAAAATCAACTTTTACACAATCATAAGTAGTTGAGAACAAAGTCAATATACATAGAAACTCTCTCTGACCATTCTGTCATGCATGTCCACAATTTCTATACCAAGAAAGGATATATATATATTTTTTGACCATTTGCAATGGCGCCAATCTAGGGAGTTGGATTATGTCCTCTTGCATGTCTCTACCCTAAAAAAAATTGTTTTCTCTTTATCTTATATTATTCGGAAAATGAGGATTTATCCCTGCTTTCAACCTTATTTCCTTGCATCAAGATATGATAAATAAATTGATTATGTGTTCCTCTGTAATCATCTTTGTTATCCTTCTTGTCGCATTCATGATATTTCAACCTTATAAAATTGGACTCAAGAAATTAATCTATGTATATTGGAAAATTACTTAATAGAACAGAATAAACCATGTTTAGACTGCTAATCGCGAATACTACTATTCCAACCTGTTTTTCCCAATCATGTCGTAAAAAAAGGAAACAAACTGTGCTGAAAACTGGACTCCGAAATGTTAAGTTCAGGAGTAAAGGGTCATGTCCCACATTGGTTTGAGAAACGGAGAAAGAGTGATTAATATGTAAGTAAAGGTTCAAGACCTAATGATTTAAACTTTTGGGTTAGATTTGGGTTCCTAACTTACACATTGGACTCTT